TAACAGCTAAAAACCAAATGGGACTATAATTACTGGGTTTTAGTAGAAACGTACTGTCACGTGCCTACAGAGAATGTAAGAAAATCTGTTAACTGTTGCTAATCCTGCCATCCTGTAGATGACTCTTCAGATCCTGCTTGCTTTTTTATGTATGTTTGTGTCTGTCAACCCCAGTACATACTTGCTGTCTCTTTCCCAAGGCGTTAAAACTGAATGGTAAGGAATGGTGGTTGAGTGACCTATGTATTGTTAGCTAGAACTGGAAAAAGTGCAAAATTTCACTCAGATGAGAACAGTAAGGAAGGCCGAGAGGATATGATCACTGCTTGTGTGTAATTTGGGGCATGTATACATGGTAGGGTGAGAATGTGTGAGCTAATGGACAATATTTGCATAAGAACAAGAAGATATAAAGTAGATGTGAATAAAGTCGGACTTGCTTTTAGAGAAGGTTAGCATCGGAACGGGGGGGGGGGGTCCCAGAACATACTTTCAGAGTGCTCAGGACAAAATTCTAACTTTTAAATGGAGCTTGCTTATATTTAAGAAAAGAGAATATATTGAGTTTGTGATCACAGGGACCCAGATCCTGTGGTTCCTTTCACTCATGTGTGTCAATGAGTGCTGTTACTGATATGGGGGTTAAGTATATATTATAAGGTTAAGTATCTTATATTATAAGGTTATTATCTTATATATATTATAAGGTTAAGTATCTTAACCTTCCTTGTCACTGATCTTAAGTGTACAACCTAAGCTCTCTGCTTCTGCAAGAGAGCTATTGTGTAAAGAAACAATTGCTTACCCATTGTGTTCTCTCGGAACTTGTTGCAGGTAAATAGGGAAGACTATCCACTTTCACTAGTCAGACTGAGCCCCTATCTTCATTATCCTGAGTACTAAAGTTAGTTTAATAAATTTAATACTATGTGGAATCCTGCTCTTGTTCCTCTGCTGGGAGGAAATGGTCGAACCCTGCCACAGGGCAATGCCCACCGATGTTGTAACAGCCCTGATTGGCAGGGCTCAGTGATTCAGGTGTGGAGAGATGAGTTTTACTGAAGTCTATTTCCATAACCTTTATTTGGACCTGGTGTTATTCAGTAGTTTGCTAGACTGTGTAAACATGGCCTTCAGAACTGACTGAAAATATTCATAAGGGTGATATTCTGAGCCTTCTCAGAAGGTACTAACATGCTGTAACTTTAAGGGGCACCTTGCTTTTCCCATCCATCCTCTTAGAAGGGACAGAGTCATAACCCATTTGCATGACTTAGTTCCCTCTTAGATTTGTCTATTTTCTTGGTTAGATTCTGGAGAGATAAGCCAAGGTCCAGTTGTTACATGTTTTTCTAAATTATTCATTTCCTTAATCAGGAAAAAATCTTAGAGAAGCAATTGTAGGCTAACCAGATCTGTTCTAGATGACTGACCATATCTAATCAGGACTTTGCAGACATTGAGGCAGAGGATTATTTATTTTACATAGACACAGCATGTGTTTTTGTTTTTTTTAATGTTCACTTCTGTTTTGTTAGTTGGTGTTATCTATAGATCTTTAAAGGATAAAGGTGAAGCTGCAGAAGCAGATGTTTAAGATCTTGCAATAATTGCAAGATATCTGTTTCTTGCTCCTTGCTAAATCCTACGTGGCTATCAAAGAGCAATCTGCCATTGCTATTGCACAGAACAGTCTGGTGTCATAGTTTGTGCAGTGCCAGGGGAGATGTTATAACACCATGTCTGTAAAGGAACAAGAATATTGTTCATTCCTCATACAGGAACATGAAGGGGATTTGGTTTCTTTAGGAGCTTTAGCAGACTGCAAAAATTAAATGAGACTGATGTTTACACAATGAGGGTGTTAGGAAACATACAGTGACAGTATTTGGGTTTGGATGAGTTATTGGCCTATTATATTTTCACAGTGTAGCAGATAAATACAGAAAACATGCCAGGGAATCCTGCTGTTGCAGTTGTTCTGCATTCGGTCTGTGTCATATATGCTATTAATAATAGTAATTTGAGGAATATGGGTTGTTCAGAGCTTCCTTCTGTCCGTCATTGCATTTAGTCTAGTAGATCTCAACTCCTTCAGTAGACTGGTAATGTTTTTTCTGTGGAGGGAGTTATCATCAGTGTCTGATACAGTTCTTTTCTTTAGACATCTGACACCTGATACTAGGATGTCACCGTTGACTTTATCGGTGTATTTAGTTTTCTGAAATACTAGTAACTTTATTCTTTCTAAAACATCTGGAAACTTTACTAGCTGAGTACTATTGTGTCACCACCCTGTGTGACAAAAAAGGCTGTATTTCAGAAGAGAATTCTTTTCTGAAACTTTTAGGCATGTCTTCTAGTGTTCTCAAGCCTAATAATGGAGCTTAATAATAATTTAGCAATAGTGTATTGCTGAAATAAAATAGCATATTCTCTTAAATATACAGTTTTCTTTTGAACATCCCATGGATCTGACTCTGAGACAAGGAGAAGGAGTCTGAAAAGGAGCAGCTTTTATTGGATGGGAGTTGCTCTGTTGCAGTTAGACAATCTGAAAGGATTTTTTAGGTGTATAGAGATAGCCCCTAATTGTTAGAAAGCTGCAACCTGAAGTGATCTTAGTGTGCAGTGTTATAACTGATACTGGCATAAAGGGAGGCTGGAGATAGAAGCAGAACAAATAAATATCCTTTGCCTTAAATGATTTAAAGATTTTTATTATTATTATTCCAGAATTCTTTTTGTAAGAGCTAAGAGTAAACTTAGGAAAAATATGTACATCAGTAACTGAATATGCCTGCTCGGGAGCAGGGCTTTGCATAAAGTAATAGCGCATGAGCTGTCTGCACTGAAGATAACTTTCCACTCTTCAACTTCACCCTGTGTTTGAGAGACTTATTGCTCATTAGTTTGATGATTGTATAAAGGATTGAAGGCTTTTTTCCTCTTATTTCCAGGAGTGATGGATGGAATAGCTGCATAGAAATGAGTAGCCTGATGACTTCTTGCCCGGGGGTTCATTTGCCAACACTTTTTCACTTTCCGCTATTCTTCAAGCGTTCGTACCTATCGACTTACCTGAATGCTTGCTTTTATTTTCCTTTCCCCCACGTTAAGTTTATAAGACTGTTCAGAGTCAGCATTTCAGACTTGGATTTCTTGTTGTTGATAAATACTTTGAGAGAGATGCATTAGCCTTGGGGACAAACGGATGTCGAAAGTGGCAAATGAAAGAGCTTTGAGTTACTTGAGAAGCTTGCCTTCAGAAACTTGGCCAGTTTAAATACTTTGCTCTGTGAATTATGTTTGTGTTGAGTTCATTGTTCTTAAGTAATTAATGTGTTTTGCCTGTTGCATTTAATTTAATTTTGAAGGTGATAACTTTCTTTTCCATGGAGTAATTTAAAAAATGTCCTTCTATGTAGGACACAGCTTAGGCTATGGCTTTGTGAACTATGTGACTGCAAAAGATGCTGAAAGAGCAATAAATACACTGAATGGTCTCAGACTCCAGTCAAAAACCATCAAGGTAGGATATACAGATTTTTCAGTCTTCTCTGAAAATGACATTATTATAAACTCATAATGTATTTAGAATGCTAATTCATTCTGATGGTAAGTTTTGGAGTTTTTTTCCAATTAGAAGAAAGGCTGAATGTGAAAGATGAATAGTGAAATGAACTGTTAAGCTGCTCAGGGTTTGTAACAGCCTTTGTATTCAAAGAATCCTTTTCTTTCCCACCATTTTTAGAGCGGTAGGTAAGATTATTCAAAATTATTGCCCAACTTTGGAACTCTCATACTTCTCAGATGCTTGACAATTTCTGTGTTTTAAATCATGAAAAGGGAGTGCTTGTATATTGCTAACATATCAGTGAGTACTCTGTTTCCTGGAAATCACATCATTAAGTGATGCTTGCATCTTTCTAGCGCTAATTAAGATAGAAAATAGCTTTCCAGCGTGTAAATTCTCTTTAGTGGGCTTTTAAAAGTATTTAAAATAGACAAGTTGTTGGTGTGAGCTGTGGTCACTAATAGGGCTGGTATCCAGTTCAGAACTTCAGACAGGGGTTCTTCAGCATGTTTGTTTGTTGGAAACATCAGTATTGTCTGTCGCTATCCCTTCATAGCAATGCCATTGTTTATCTGTCAGCTAAGCCCAAAACAGATGGAATTATATAGGGACTGATTTCTCATTTCTTGTTCTGGCAATTTTCCCCTGTGGTCTACCCCTTTCCCTCTTCTGAAGTCCAGTAGGAAAATTGCCTGCATTGTTTAGCAGGGAATGAATGAGAGTCACTCATGACGAAATAAGTTACTTTTTCTATCTGCACCCTGAAAATACCTTTTCTTAAAGGTTTCCTATGCTCGTCCAAGTTCTGAAGTTATTAAAGATGCTAACTTATACATTAGTGGACTACCGAGGTCAATGACGCAGAAAGATGTAGAAGATATGTTTTCACGTTTTGGACGCATTATCAACTCACGTGTGCTTGTGGATCAAACTACAGGTGAGTACTGTTGCATTAGCAATGTAAAACTCTACTATATAGCGTGTATATTAAAGTAATTTTAAGATTTTCACAAATGAACTGTGACGTCTGTTGTTAACATTATTTCAGTTGTTAATGAGAGGTTTTTCCAATGTTTTTTGAAACACACAATGACTTGCAGAGCCTCCTTTGCGAGGTTATGGTCTAAACCTCATAATGTATTCTGTTATTAGTTTTATCAGGCTAAGCTCCTGATTTGCCAGATTTACTCTCTTGCTCTAACACTTGATGTCAGTATAGTGGCTTAAATACTGCAGTGCTTACCTCTGGGCAATCAGTTCACAATCTGGAGGGCTAAAATTACCTTTACTGTACACAAATACAGCTATTGTTCACAGGCAAATTCCAGCCCATAATTATATAAAAAATACCAATGTGTTTATCTTTTGTGCCAGCTTAAAATTCATTTACACAATTTCTTGATATTTTAAAACACTTGAAGCATCGTACAGTCCTTTCCGGTTACTGCTAACCAAAAAAATGGACTTCGTACTCTTAGCACTACCCTACTGATTTTCTGAATGTATTTTATTTTTAAAAACTGGGGAGGAAAAAAGGGTAAAAGTTGCTTAGTTAAGCACTCAGCTCGGGAGAGACCAAAGTTAAGGATTTCCTTTGTAATGTTAATTCTGACTCAGCGTTGCAATGTGCTTTCAGATTTTTAATTTCTTTATTTCAAACTGTATAACTGAATAGTATGGCTTATCCTGCAACCTGAGGTGTTCTGTTTCCAACAGCCCATAAGTCATGTATAAATTTGGAAAGGACTCTCACAAATATACCTTTTCATGATTATGCATGTGCTACATTAGAACAGACAATGATCTAATTCTAAAAATTTCACACTTATCATATACAGTAGTATATAAACTTATAGGTAGTACACAGGCAGCAGCTTTCATGCTTTTTGAGGAATCTACTCTAATATAGAGTAGGCCATCAGCAACTCTCGTTGGGATTTGCCTAACTAAATGTTAAGGTCTACAACGTTAAGTTTCTATGTGAGAGCTAGTCCCGTGGTGTAGGCATCGACTTGAGTGTTTCGACTTGGTCAGATGGGTTGTACCATAAATGCTGTTGCATGTAAAAGGAATCTAGATCGGTTCTAGATACCAACATTGCGCGCACCCTAAAGCTGAGTGAGGTAAATCCTATCCTATCCTTTGTTTTCTAGATAGAGGGGGATTCATTTTGTCTGAGATATCCAGATGGATCTAATTATCTAGGTTCCAACTATGGTCAGAATCGAGAAAAAAGAACCCCTAGAGCACAGGGAATAGCTATTAAAATACGTGTCCAAAATGCCTACTAAAATAGGTGTCCAAAATAGTCATTCTTCACTGGCTGATAGTGAAGTCTGGACAGCAAGCAAGCATCTGTCCTTATGACGGAGCTATAAAATGAGATGACAGAAGTCATACAGTTAAAGTCTCCCCAGGAATAATATAGTTTTCATTGAGTGTGCTGACGCATGATGCTATCTAATTCAGTGTCAGCTGTGGAAATGACAACTCTAAATATACAGCTTGCTTTCAATCAAGCATAATTATGTATTGTTTGAACATATTCTGTTCACATTGTGAAGTTTAATCATGCATATATAGCCTAGCTTTCCCTTCCCTTCAAGTATGTCTCCAGGCTTTTACTTTAAAACATAAGTTTCATATCTAGGTCTTGGCCCAACTGAGACAAATTTTCATTTGTGCTCTTGGACGGACTGCCTCAGCAGAGGTTCTCAAGCTTTTGAGAATTAGTCTATCAAAATGCACACATTCTTCAATATTTATATTTTAAATGCAGCAGGTCAAGTGAGAAGTACTACGACCAGAAGAGCATGGAGAAGTTACAGCATGCTGGCGTGTACTTCCTCCCTGGCAAAGAATGACTAACCTCAATGGTATTGGAGCACATAACAGAATTAGACTGGATTGGACTGGCTGATCTAGTCCAGCTTCCTATTCTGAAAGTAACCAGAAAGAATTAAAAAATGGAGTAACTTATTCACAGGTTGACCCTTTTTTCAGATCACTGTGGAAACATCAGTTTCAGAGCTAGTACTAGCCACGTAGAGTCTTCTGCTTGGTAAAGAATACATCTCAAATCTCTGCAGTTGTTTTCTTTAAAAAAATGCAGTGGCTTAGGAAATGGGCTTTCTGTGTTTGACTCCGCATACTTAACAGCATGCGATAAACAAGTTGTCATTTATGGAAATTCTCCCGATGCCCCAAAAGGAAATATGTATTTCCTATAGACAATTTTAGGGGGCAAGTTATAAGTTGTTTTCCCTTCTGTTTGCTCACTTCATAACTAGGAATATGTTATATTCTGTTTCTTCCTGTAAAATATTGGAAATAACCTTCCTTTCTTTTATACACAACTTTGCTGTTTATGATAGCTTTAAGTTTCAAAGCTTTGCTTGATTGTTGCCCTGTGTTGAATGTATAATACAGACAGTGTAACAGCAGAGTTAGACTCCTGGAATTATTATATCCATAATTTCTACTTTAGAGTGCAATTTAAACAAAATGTACCCCTTAAGGTTTCACTGTGATGAGCAGTATTTCCAGACTCTGGTCAAGTCAAATGGACAGGTGTGAAGGAAGAAAATTCTGATACGGGAGATCTTTTACCTCAGTCAAAAGGATAACAAAATCCAGTGGCTGGGATCTAGAACCAGAAACAAGATACAGATGTTTATTTCAGGTGTGTAGGTGTGTAATTGTTTCAGTAGTTACCAAGAGAAGAGGTAATTCTTAGTCAGTACTTTATGAATTAAAAATAAGGTACCAGTCAGCCAGAAATAATGGGCACGATGCAGCTGAAATTGATATCTTCATTGCACAAGGTTAAATTACATTCTTAGAATTATCCTTTCTTGTCTTAATCTATGATCAAGAGTGTCATCAGCATGGATCCATCTTATGTTTGGAAAATCAGTGTGAATTTTATATTTACAGATATTTTCAGGGATAAAATAATCCAAGCTAAGGGTTTTTGTTTTGTTTTTAACTGAGTGAAACTTTTTTTGAGATTTCATTTAAAATGTTTTTTGTTAATGGCAATGTCATTCATTGATGGTTTTTCTGGAATTCTGCTGCATTAGATTTTTTTTATTTAACTACACTATAAAAGTGTTTCAGTCACTGTGGTTGTTATAGCTGAAAAGAATGTGTTGATTTGTCTTTTGTTTCTTAATTTTGCACTTTATCCTCTAGCTACTGAAGAACCATTAGTAAATACAGAGAACTCAAAAGCTATGACCGTAGATATATTTAACTTTTTGGTTTTTTGCTTTCAAAGTTATTTTGAGTTTATCCTGAACTTCATTTTTCATTTTTTTTATTGGTTTGGTTAAAAGGTTTGTCCAGAGGGGTCGCATTTATCCGGTTTGACAAAAGGTCAGAAGCAGAAGAGGCAATCACAAATTTCAATGGTCACAAACCCCCAGGTTCCTCCGAACCCATTACAGTGAAGTTTGCAGCCAATCCTAACCAGAACAAAAATGTGGCACTGTTATCGCAGCTGTGTCATTCACCAGCTAGACGATTTGGAGGGCCAGTTCATCACCAGGCGCAAAGATTCAGGTAGGTTAGGAGGAATAATCCATTTAAGGCTATTCCCATGTCCATGTGGGAAATTGTACTGTTGCAGCTGTGCAGTAATATCTTCATTGCAGCATGTGTGAATGAATACGTAGTGCACTGTATATCCTACAGTGTTATGTAAATAAATTGTTGAATTAAAAGACAATTAAAGCAAAATTTTACTTGTAAAACTTGTATTGAAGCTAATCATGTAAAGGTACACTGCAGAGTCTATTTCTACAATTCAGTATATCATGAGATTGTAGGAAGTAGCAGATTCCGGATGGGTATTTGTAGATGCCTGTCTCAACAGATCCCCATTCTGTAGTCCGTATATCTGAATGCAGATATAATTTGGCAACTTAATTAAAGCTCTGAACCATTGGTTCCAGCAGGGGGGGTATCCTAGTAAGTTAGGAAACAATATATCTGATTAAGAGTTTCCATGGGATTTCTATCTCCATCTTCAGCTGTGCAGTGCTCTGTCTTTCCTAGAGTCCTCATAAGTTCAGTAAGCTTACTGGGTAATTACTACACGTCTTTTGCCTCCAGCGCTGTGGAAGAAAATATGTATTTTGCCTTTGAGAATTGCCTTAGTTGCTTTGAATTTGAATTACCTGAATTTGAATTGCCTTAGTTGCTTGAAGAAGGATGTTGAAGATAGCTGAACTGTGTCTCTGAACAATGCAGTGTTTTTACTGTCTTTGTATTTAGGTAACTGGCCTTGTTATGAGGCGAGTATGTAAGAGCTTCTGAGTAGTGATACCCTATTGAGAATTGACGCTTATTTTGGTTTCCCTTGAGATATGCAATTAGCTCAGCATAAATGAAACTAAAAACCCAAGCTAGAATTCTCAACCTTTGCAGTGCCACTGTTCCAGCATTGCTATGACCATACCATATTGCTTTAGTTTAGCATTTCAAAGATAGATAGGCATAACATGTCCTCAATGAAAATGAGAACTTTATACAGTCATCTGTTGTTTTACAGGAAGCATAAGAAAAAATTACCATAAAGGCAATCAAACGCTGGAATAGGTTGCCCAGAGAGGTTATGGAGTCTCCATCCTTGGACATACCATGTCCAGTCAGGTTACTGAGCAACCTGCTCTAGTTGAATGTGCTCTGAGCAGGGGGTTAGATTAGGTGATCTCCAGAGGTCCCTGCCAACCTCAACTACTCTGGGAGCATGTGATTCTGTTGTACTGTTGTCCAGGCATATTTATTGCAGGCAAACAAGATCTTATTTCCTTGAAGTGCTTGCCCGGATCTCTGCACCCAAACATTCTAAGCTATGGTAGGAAATGAAATTTTGATGGCAGTTAGGTGAACTATTTAAAATTTCATTCGTCCATTTTCTGTGTCGGCTAGAGGCTTTTTCAATGTATGTCAGTCCTAATAAAATCTTTAGTCTAATGTCTCTCATTTTCATTCTTAATGTAACTGTATGTTCTTGTTATCGTTCTTCCCCTTGAAATTTTTTAAACAGAACTAGGGTTCATTGTAGTAAGCAGTACAAATAATGTTCACTTTCATAATTAACATACCAAATAACTTGGTCCTAAAATGATTGCTCAGTTACAATAAAAATGATTAGTATAAGTTAATGTTTATAGCTGCAGATTAAATGAAATTTTAGTGACAGATGTATTCATGGTTCTTTTTTCTATCCTTAAGAGCAGTATTAAGGTTATTTGTGTGCTTTCGCTATGTTTCTGTGAGTTTTCAAAAGTGAGAATAGTAGAACGTATGTTCTGCCTTTCTGCCCTGTTCTCTTTTATTAAATAAATGATGTCTGCTCAAATTATTTGATCTCAATGCTAATTTGCTAACTCTTTCTGGCCAACTTCTGCTCCTAGTTGAGAAGAGCAGAGCTACAGGTTTGGTAATGGAGACAAAGCTGAAGATTTTTAGGTACCAGAGACTGGTAGAGATAGCAATAGCAGAGTTCTGGGTTGAGCCATGCTGTTATGAATATATTAAGGAGATAAGGCTAAGCTGTAGCAGTTGACCTGAAGATGAAAACAGTCCATCCCTTTTGGTGACTCTTGTTGGAGTCGCAAGGATTTTAACCCTAAAGACTTTCTCTGTTCAGTCACATACTTGTGCACGTACACACATGTATGCACATGCAGGTATCATCCTACAAGCCTCTTTCTTCCCTTCCCACATTTGGTGCTAACTGCAAATTTTGCTAGTGAGCCTTTCTTAAAGGATGCTGAACTTGATGAGTTATGATTACTTTTATTGTGGTGAAGCTTAGGAACCTTGGCTTATTTGTTCTACGTAGTGAACAAAACATAATGAAAGGATAAGCTGCTTCCAAAGAGCTCACAATCTATATAAATTAGTTGTGGTCACTGCTATGTAGAGGTTGAACTACTTAAACTGGCATTTTGATTACTCTCCATCTAGTTCTATCATCTCCCTATAAGTCCAGGATTAAGCCTTTAGTATCTCTAATTTGTAATTATTAATTTCCCACAGCTATGACTCAAACCCTTTGTTCAGTGTTCTGTTAATCCTCTCCTATTCCCCTGGTATTTATGGCTTATGCTTCGCATCAGGGGCTGATCTTAATGTCCTGTCCCACTGAAACAGAGTTGGCCTGCTGATTCTCATACATGGAGTCAGCTGAAAGCTTCCCTGTTCCTATCTGTAAGGAATGACACTGCAACATGGAACTGTGTTTGGAGGATAGGTGAAAACATCTGGGGCAAAGGTATCTTTTGAGATTAAGATTTCTTCACTGTGAAACAGAAAGCCGATCTTTAGGTGTTGAAGTCCACTGAAATTAAGGAGTTAGCTTGTAAAATTTGAGAATCTGGTCCAAGGACCCTAGAAGTCCAGCACTTTTACAGTTTACTGAAAATATTATGATAGAAGTAGTGTATTCGTGCTGCTCCCCTTCCCCCCTCCCCCCAAAATCTTAGAAGTATTCCTAGTTCAGCTGATTTTGCTTTCAGACTTATTCAGGGTTGAATCCTGTTCCTGCTTGCTTTAATGGGCAAGAGTCTATTAATTAGCTCCGGAATGCATGAAGGGGGAGGTGTTATTTATTGTTAATCCTTTGATAAAGGGGAAATGTGAGAAGCATCTTGAGTATGTAACCTTATGGTGCTAGATAATACAGAAGACTTTTTCAGGTTTAGGGGCCTTAAAACCCTGAGGTGAGACAGCTAGGAACATTGGTTCTGAGGGCTAGCTAGTATTTACATATAACCTGCAAACTCCGTGGAAACCCTTGAACTGTCAAAGGTATTAATATTGGGACAGCTTCCAAACATCTATTTTGTTTCACTCCAGTGAAATTATGTTTACATTTTTATCTTTCAAGCCAATTTGTAATTATTTTGGTTGCAGCTTGTCTAGATTTGGGAGCTAATAGAAGAGAACACTACTCCTATCCAAAGCAGTATTTCATCAAAGCTCAAGAAGAGTATGCAGGTGCATACTCTTATTTCATTTGCTGGTACTCTCTGATATGTGGCAATTTGATTAAATATGTTGTTATTTCAGGTCTAAAGTTTGCATCCATTAGTTCTCAACAACACCTGCCTGATAAACAGTAATTGTTCCTATCTGTATCTGGGTATGAAAAAATAGCAACTTAGTGGGAAAATAGTGGACATGACCAGTATCAGCTTAGTTGAACTCCTTTTCTTTGTGGAGCCATTTGAAAAGAAAAAAGATGCCAAGCTCATGTGAAAAGGCAACATAGGCTAATATTAAATGTATCATTAGTGCTTATTAGCAATACATAAGCTGTGGGATTGCTCCCACCTGTGATGCTATATATAGCTCTTCTCAGATTGCAGTGAGGAATTCTCACTGCAAAAAAAATTATAGGACTTCCATAAAACTAAAAATCAATTTTTTTTAGGAATGTCACTTCTGAGATGATATGCTCTGGTGTGTTAAAATAATCCCCCAAATCTATTAAATGAAGCAATAATAATCTGTCTCTAATGGGTAGAATGAAGGGCATTCATATAAATCAAAAGCTTACCAGTAGAAAATTGCTTACGCTGTATTGGCGATGTCACAAGATATTGGAGCTTTCAGGTTAGTGTGACTTAACCACCCGCAAATAAAATCTTCTACAGATGCTTAATGAGGATTGAATAGGCAGGGGTGAGGGAGACAATAAACATAAGTACACCAAAAATGAGGGCACTAGCAGTGAGGCTGAGATTATCCAAATCACAATATTCATGGCATGTTTTCTAATTTTTTTTTTCTGAAGGATCTTGCATCTGTGTGGGTTTTAGTGTTGTTGGCCCAAGTCAAAAACAAGTCTTTTAAACATCCTATATAAGCACAGCTTTCCAACGGTCACCTTAAAATTTGTCTATTTAAAATAAAAAATCTTGTGCTGTTAGGCAATAAGGTATTGTGTGTCAGCTACTCTGTGTGCCTTGCTATGTGCAGGCTGTTACTCCAAGCTAATGGAGAGACCTTATGTCTTTCCACTGATGAAGGCTGTCAGTCCAGGAATAAGCATAGAGGATATGTATTAGATCAGCAGTTTTACCATAGGAGGTGGTTGTGCTTGTCGTATGAGTGTCTTACATGATGCTTCTGGGTTGGTGCAAGTCTAAACCTAAATCTAGCCTTTGATATAGTCCTAAGCCTGCAGCAAGTTTACTGGCATTTTTGCAAGTTGTTTTATTGTTGTTTGGTTTTTTGATTATTACTTTTTAACCAAACAAACCTTTGTGAGAGGCTTCTTTTTTATAAACTTGCCAAGTGTAGTTCTATTTTAGAATCATGTTAGAGCTGGATAAATGTTATGTACGATAAAGTATTTCCTATGCAGGTATGCTAGGAAAGCAAACCTTGGGCTGCTTCTGTATTTTGTAAGGCAAGTATGTGGAACTTATGCATGTATCTATCAGTGTTGTTGGTCTTATTTTTCTATAGCAGGGCTTGTTTGCTTCTGTACACTTCAGCTTTTTTTGAAATATCTTTATAGCCTTTTAAGAGTGTCTTTACCCTGTGCTGTGTTTTTTGTAAATCTCTCTTTCCCTGTTAGTTTTTGCAGAATATTAGTTCACCTTGCTTCTCTGTAGTCAGTGTCATGACATAATTGTAAGCGTTTTTAATCTGAGGGGCTCTGACATGGATAAATGAGAGAGAGAAACAAATTAGTGCATACCACCTGTTCCATATTAACAGCATATATGGTAACTGTGGTATGCTGCAGAGAAAACATGAAGTAATCTGAGATGATTTCCTCAAAAAGAAGAGTGACCTAGCCTGCATTTGGACAGGGTAGATCACGAATATAGACAATTCTAATTAAAAAGCGCTAGCACGGGAAGAGTAACATTTTCGTGGTCAAAGTAAAAAGAGGGCAATCTGTTTGAAAATTGTTTTCAGAGAATGGAGGTATTTACTGTTTTAGATCATTTCGGCTGTAATAGGCATTTCAGGTTTGTTGCCCTGACACTTTCAACCCCCACCCCCTCTTCTACAAGTATTTTCATCCCTTGAGGTACTATGCATCTGGGCTTGTGGGTGGAGTCCAAAGCATTATGGCAAGCAGGTTCAGCACCGCGCTGACTGCTGGAACCAACGTCATGCAATTCTGAGCTTAGTGATTTTCTGCTACTCGTACATGTGAGCAGGAACCAAGATTGGTGATCTGTTGAGATGAAAATCTTCAAAGTATGAGTTATGATAAATGGATCTTATTAGATCATTACTCAAAAAGGAAGAAGTCAAAAAGCTGGGGTCTGTCAGAAAAAACAAGCATATAAGCATGCAAACACAAGAACGTTTTATTTAAATGCAAAATAAATAATAAATAAGACATCACGTAATCATCATATCACATGGGTCAGTGCGTTTCATTCACATTCTGATACTCTTAACTGCTTTTTCAGTTTTACTGTAGTACAAGAATTCCCAAACTTGGATTTGCTTGGGGCTGGCCATCAGTGGCAGCAGCAGTGAGTATGTGCAGCATGAGCTCAGGTGTGTCTGCACTGTGCTCTACAAATGCTGGTGTCATAGTCAGGCTGACTCCAGCCTGGCTGAGCCAGGCTCTGGCTGACTCCAGGCAGAGTGCGATGGAGGGGAAGGTGTCTCTACCACCAGACTCTTCCCCCCACACCCCACCCCCCCGC